TTATGCTAATATAAATCACGTTTTCAAAAAATTTAATTCCCCAATTTTTTGTTGCTAATATACATTGTTAATATATAGTGCTAGCATAGAAACACAGTAATTTTCATAAGACTTTTATTCCGCTACATTGTTAAACTTACTCATAGGGTTTACTGTGTATACAGTCATGTCAGTGAATAAAGACAGAATGTTGAATAGAAGTAGTGAGTGCAGAAATGCTTGCCTTGTTTCCAATATTGAGGAAACAAGTAAAATCTTTATTAAACATGTTATCTATAACATTTTTGTGGGTGCTTTTTATCTGGTTGAGAAACCATCTTTCTCTTGAATTGAGAAGTGTTTCTTCCCAGACCCCTCTTTTTTACTTTCTAAAGGAATTTGTGTAAGAATTATATTATTCCTTCTTTAAATATTTGGAACAAATTAATCAGAGTGAAACAACTTAAGGGTCTGGAATGTTCTTTGTAGGAGAATTTCAAATTGAGAATTCTGTTTTCATAATTTTTCTTTTCAAATAACTTGTTCATTTTATCTAAATTGTAAAATTCATTGGCATTAGATTGTTAATATTGCTCTTACTGTCCTATTAATGTCTATAATGATGTCCCACTTTTTATTCTATTGTTAATTTTTCATTTCTTTTTTTATCCTGATGAGACTAGCTAATTTTTAAAATTAATTTTATTGATTTTTTTGAAGACCTTACATTAATTTTATTAATTTTCACTCTTAATTGTTCATTTGCTATTTCACTTACTTGTTATCTTTATTATTGAATTCTTTCTCTCTGCCTTAGATTTTAAGAAATTGTCCTTCTATCCTAATAAAATATGCCTGTTTGCCTATATAATATTCCTTCTCTAGTATTCCACCTGGTCAGATATTAATACTGTGTAGCTAATCCAGATTTATTATGTTTAGTATTTGTGGAGTATATCTTCTTTTACTTTTAACCTGTCTTCTATGTCTTTATATTTAAAGTGTGTTTGTGGTAGACAGCTTATAGATAAGTTTGCTTTGTAGCAAATTTGACAATTTCTGTCCTTTAATTGGTGTGTTTATTCCATTTACATTTAATGTAATCATTTATATGGTTGATTTAAAATCTGCTATTTTGTCTTCTATTTCTGCCATGTTTTTTCCTCTGTTTTTCTCTTTCTTATGTATTAATATTGACAGTACATCATGCATTAATAATAATAACTATCTTATGTATTAATATCTTCAGTATTCTATCTACTTTATATTTCTTTGTTTTTTTAATTGGCTTCTTTAATGTTTAACTTATTGCAGTTTATCTTCATATAATATTACTTTGTGTACAATGTTAGAATCTTACAACAGAACGCTTCCATTTTCTCTTATCATCTGTGTTGCAATTGTCCTATATTTTATCCTATATTTGCTTCATGCTCCACAATACATTGTATTATTTTTGTTTTAACAGATCATAGTATTGTTTAAAAGTTTGAAAATAAGAAAAAGGTTTTAAAATTTAATTTCTGACACTGTAAAATTCCTAGCAAAAACATAAAGGAAAGCTTTTTGACATCGGCTTTGGCAATAATCTCTTGGATATGACACTAAAGTCATAGGCAACAAAAGCAAAAGTAGACAAGTGGGATTATATCAACTAAAATCCTTCTGCACAACAAAGGAAACAATCAAGAAAATGAAAAGGCAACCTATGGAATGGAAGAAAATATTTGCAAACCAAATATCTGTTAAAGAGTGTATTAGTCCATTTTGAATTGCTATAAAGGAATGCCTAAGGCTGGATAGTTTATTAAAAAGAAGTTTATTTGGCTCACAGTTCTGAAGAATGTGAGAAGCCAGGTACCAGCATCTGCTTCTGGTGAGGACCTCAAGAAGTTTTTATGCATGGCAGAAGGCAAAGGGGAGCTGGTGTGTCACAAAGTGAGAGAGGAAGCAAGAGAGGAAGAGGTGCTATTCTCTTTTAAATAGCCAGCTCTTACCTGAGCTAATAGATTGAGAACTCACTAATTACTGGGAAGACAGCACTAAGCCATTCATGAGGAATCTGCCCCTATGACCCAAACACCTTTCACCAGGATCCATCTCCATCATTTTAACATCATATTTGGAGGGAACAAACTTCCAAACTATATCGTTCTTCCCCAGGGCCCCCAAATCTTATGTTCTTGCCACTTTGAAAAATACAATCAGTCCTTCTCAATAGTTCCCCCAAAGTCTTAACTTGTTTCAGCATCAACCCCAAAATCTAAAGTCTTCTCTGACACTGAAAGCAAGTTCCTTCTACCTATGAGACTGTAAAATAAAAAATAAAAAAATAATAAAAACTATAATAAATAAAAATCAAATAAATATAATAAAAAATATATAATTATATAATAAAAAATAAATAATAAATAAAAATAAAAAAACCAAGTTATTTACTTCTAAGATACAACACTGATATAGGCATTGGGTAAATGTTCACATTCCAAAAGAGAGAAATCAGCCAAAAGAAAGGAGCAATAGGCCCCATGCAAGTCTGAAGCCCAGAAGTGCAGACATTAAATCTTAAAGTTTCAAAATAACCATTGACTTCATGTCCTGCATCCCGGGCACATTGATGTGAAAGATAGGCTCCCAAGGCCTTGGGTAGTTCCATCCCTGTGACTTTGCAGGATGCAGCTCCATGGCTGCTTTCACAGGTAGGAGTTTGGTGCCTGTGGTTTTTCTCAGCTGAGAGTGCATCTGCTGGTGACTCTACAGTTCTGGGGTTTTGATGATAGTGTCCTATTCTCAAAGTTCCACTTGGCAGTGCCCCAGTCAGGACTCTGTATAGGGCCTACATCTCCATATTTCCCCTCAGCACTACCCTAGTAGAGGCTCTCTGTGTGGATTCTATCCTAGTGGCAGGCTTCTACTTGGGCACCCAGGTTTTCCCATACATCCTCTGAAATCTGAGTGGAAGCTGTTAAGCCTTCTTCACTCTTGCATTGTGTACACCTGCAGGCTGAACATCATGTGGAAGCCAACAAGGCTTACAGCTTGCACTCTCCAGAGTGGCAGGCCAAATTGTACCTTGGGCTCTTTGAACTCTGGCTGGAGCCAGAGTGGCCTAAATGCGGAGCAGCATCCTGAGCCTGCCCCACAAAACCAGTATGTCCTTGTGGGCTTCTGGGCCTGTGATGGAAGAAACTGCCTTGAAGATTTCTGAAATTCCTTGAAGGCTTTTCCCATGGTCTTGATTTTTAGCACTTTGCACTATTTTAGTCATAAAATCTCTTTAGCAAGTGGTTGCTCCATAGCCTGCATGTATTTCTGTCTTCAGAATGCTTTTTCCTTCTCTACCACATAACCAGGCTGCAGATTTTCCAACTTTTTCCTCTCCTTCAGTCTTAATTATAAGTTCCAACTTTAAGTTATTCCTTTCTTTGCCTCCACATCTGACTGTAGTATGTTAGAAGCAGCCACATCACATTTTAAATATGTTGCTGCTTAAAAATTTCTCCATCAGTACTTGAGTCATTCTTAAATTCAGCCTTCCACAAATTCTAGGACATGAACAAAATGCTACCAAGTCTTTTGCTAGGGTATAACAAGGGTGACTTTTATTCCAGTTTCCAATAAATTTTTTTTATTTCAATTTGAGACGTCATCAGCCTGGCCTTCACTGTTCCTATTTCTATCAGCATTTTGGTCATAACCTCTTAACAAGTCTCTCAGAAATCCTAATTTTTCCCTCATCTTCCAGTCTTCTTCAGAAACCTCCAGTCTCTTTCAACTTCTGCCTGTTATGCAGTTCCAAAGCAGCTTGCCCACTTTTAGATATCTTCATAGCAACCCCCACTCCTGATACCAATTTTCTGTATTAGTCTGTTTTACTTTGTTCTAAAAAAAATACCTGAGACTGAGTAATTCATAAAGAAGTTTATTTGGCTTACAGTTCTGAAGACTGTGCGGGAAGCCTGGTACCAACATCTGCTTCATGCTTCATCTGTCACATGGTAAGAGGCAAAGCAAGAGAGAGGAAGGTGTGCCATACTCTTTTAAACAACTAGCTCTCATGTGAACTGATAGAGTGAGAACTCACCCATTATCATGAGAAGAGCACCAAGCCATTTATAAGGTATCCTGTCCATGACCAAAACACCTCCCACCAGGCCCCAATTCCAACATTGGGGAACACATTTAAACATGAGGTTTGGACAGGACAAACAATAGCAAAACAAAATAAAACCCACAAGTAATCTAATTATAAACTTGGCAAAGGACTTGAGTAAACATTTCTTCAAAGAAGACATACAAATTAACAACAGATATATGAAAAGGTGCTTAATATTACAAACCATCAGGAAAATGCAAACCAAAATTACGATGAGCTATCACTTCATATCTTTTAGGATGACTACTATAAAAAATAACAAATGTTTGCAAGAATGTGGAGAAGAGTAAACCCTTGTGTACCATTGGTGGTAATGTAAATTGGTATATCCACTGTAGAAAACAATATGGATATTCCTTAACAAGTTAAGAAAACAGTGACCTCATGATCTAGCAATTCCACTTCTGGCTACATCTCCAAATGAATTGAAATCAGTATCTCAAAAATATGTCTCCATCCTATGATTATTTCAGCATTATTCACAATAGCCAAGACATAGAAGCAACCTAAATGTCCATCAATGGATGAATGGATAAAGAAAATACATACAACAGAATATTATTCAGCCTTAATGAAGAAGGAAATCCTGCCATTTGTGATAGCATAGGTGAACCTGGAGGACATAATGCTAAGTGAAATAAACCATATGCAAGAACAAATACTACATGATACCACTTATATAATTAATCTAATATAGTCAAACTCATAGAAGCCGAAAGTGGAATAGTGTTTTCAGGGACTGGAAGGGAGAGGAGAATGGGGAAGTATTAGTTAAAATGTATAGAATTTCAGTTATACAAGATGAATAAAAAGTCCTAGAAATTGACTCTATAGTATAGTGCCTATAGTTAAGAATGTTGTATTAATACTTACCTGGTAGGGGCGATACCATGATCATGAAGGTCATTTTCCCAGGGTGAGGCAAATCCATTGCCCTCTGGATATACTGACCTCTGTGATTTCCCCAAATGTGGGAAATGACAGTATAATTTGTGGTAATGGGGGACAGTGTTCGTGCTTTCCCCTGGAAAAAAAAAAAAAAAAAGAATGCTGTCTTCTAAACTTAATAATTTGCTAAGAGGGCAGATCTTATTAAGTGTTCCTATAATAAACAAACAAAATGCTAATAATTAATCGAGAGAGTTGGAGGAAACTTTCCGAGATGATGGATAGGCCTATGGCATGGATCGTGGTGATAATTTCATTGGTGAATCTTTATCTTCAAACTCATTTACATGTTTGCAAATCTCAATGAACACCAAACAGTATAAACAAAAACAAACTATACCTACACATATCATAATTAAATTACTACAAATCAATGGTAAAGGGGGGCTTTTCTTCCCTGCAGGCCTACCTTGTGGTTTTCAACTGCAAGAAAGCAATCTAGCTGTTCAAACATGAATCTGGGCAGGAGGAGGGGCAGGGGCCTCTGTGAAGCCTTTGAATCAAGACCGGTGAATCAATACATTAATATGAATACATTAATATATATAGTTTTTGTATGTCAATCATACATCAATAAAGTAGTTAAAAAGGAAGTTTTATATTTACATTTATACTTACCATATCCTGTGGCCTTTTGTGTATGTAGATCTGGATTTTAATTATTTTTTTAGCCTTAAGAAATTAACAGTAAAGGTGTGATGACAAAAATTTTTCTAATTTTAGTTTGAAAATCTGTTTATATAATATTTATTTTTGAATAATGTTTTTATAGGATATAGAATTCTAAGTTGATAGTTATTCTCTCTTTTACCATTCATTCCCTAGCAGTTTAAAGATACTGTTCCATTGCCTTCTGGTTTGTGTGGTTTCTAATGAGACACCAGCAGTATTATATATATGTGTGTGTGTACATGTGTGTGTGTGTGTGTGTGTGTATGTATATGTGTGTGTGTGTATATATTGTTGTAATGTGAGTGGTTGTGTTAACTCTAAATTTTTTATCATTGATTTTTCAGTAATTTAATTGTGACATGTGTAGATATAGTTTTCTTTGTTTATATTGCTTGATGTTTATTGAGATTTATGAACATGTAAATTTGTACTTTTCATCCTATTTGGAAATATTTTATCATTATATCCTTAAAAATTTTTAATTTAAATATTGTGCCTCACCCTTTTTTCTGGTCCTTCCATTATGCGTATATTAGGTTTCGTGATTTTGTCTCAAAGGCTGCTGAAATTCTCTTCATTTTGTTTCTAGCATTTTCTCACTCCTTAACCTGCAGTTTGGATAGTTTTTATACCAGTCATCACATTCTTTGATTATAAAGTATTTAATCAGCTATTAAACTCATGTAGTGAATTCACTTGTGCTCTATATGTTTTATTTGTTTCTTTTTTATATCTTCCATTTTCTTCCTTATTATGTTCACATTTAAAAAAAATCTTAGGCCAGGCACAGTGGCTCATGAGTGTAATCCCAGCACTTTGGGAGGCCAAAGTGGACGGATCATGAAGTAAGGAGTTTGAGACCAGCCTGGCCAATATGGTGAAACCCCATCTCAACTAAAAATACAAAAATTAGCCAGGTGTGGTGGCATGCACCTGTAGTCCCAGTTACTTGGAAGGCTGAGGCAGAAGAATTGCTTGAACCTGGGAGGCGGAGGTTGCAGTGAGCCAAGATCATGCCATTGCACTCCAGCCTGGGTGATGAAGTGAGACTCTGTCTCAAAAAAAAAAAAAAAATCTTAGGCAATATTTATCTTAGCTGTTTAAATTCCTTGTTTAATAATTCTATCATCTCTTTTATTTCTGAGTATATTGCTATTGACTAATTTGTTTCTTCATTTTGGGTCAAATTTTCTTTTTATTTTTGTCTAGCAATTTTTAATTGGATTCTGGGCACTATATATGTTATCAAAGGTCAGGAATTACAAATCTGTAATCCCAATGCTTTGGGAGGCCAAGGTGGGAGAATTGTTTGAGGCCAGGAGTTTGAGACCATCCTGTGCAACACAGTGAGACAACATTTCTACAAAAAAAGAAAAAAAATTAACTAGGCATGGCGGTACATGCCTGTCATCCCAGCTACTTGGGAGGCTGAGATAGGAGGACTATTGTTGCCTAGGAGTTCTAACCCACATCAAGCTGTGATTGCACCATTGCATTCCAGCCTGGGTGACTGAGTGAGACCGTATCTCTAAAAAAATAGTTATATAAAATAAATATTGTTGAATGTTTGTTTTCTTCTTTTAAAGAGTGTTATAGTTTGTACTGCTAGCCTGGCAATTTATTTATAGATTTATTTGATTATTTCAAGACTTGTTTTTAAGCTTTGTTTAGGCATATTAAAATAAGACTTTATTTTAGGGTTAATTTCTCCCCACCACTAAGGCCATGAAACTTCTAAGGCACTGAGTATTCAGTGAAGTCCTTCCACCATGATTGGTTGAATCTCAAATGTCTAACCCTCATCAAGTTCTGTAGTTGTTCAGCTTGTACGTCTTCAGTAGTTTTTCTTTATATTTATTCTTTGCTTCACAAATAAATATTTGTGAAGTTTCAAATATTTATTCATGTTCAATCTATTACTTTTACAGATAAACTAGAAGACATCCCTATGAAGTTTTCTGGAGCTCTTTCTTTACACAGATTCCCCCTTTTTGGTAGTCTGCGCTGCAGATTTCAGCTGCTTCAGCTTCCTTGAATTCTCAACCCATCTCTTCCACTTAGTGAGAATGCTGTGCCCTGCTTGGGTTTGCTGTCTTTCCAAACTGGTGTCTAACAGACACTTCCAGGTAGAGAGGTTGGGTTATCTTTGAGCTCAACTAATTTGTTTTCCTTCTCTAAGGGATTACTGTCCTTGGCTTCTTGTTGTTCAATGTATGAAAACAGCTGTTTCATATGTTTCATGTAGTTTTTAACAGTGTTTATAGTGTGAGGGTTAGTGCACTAGAATTACTTGCTATGCCTGGTTACTAAATTCTTCCAAAATATTAGAATAAAAATTTGAAAGTGTAGGCCCCAAAAGATGATTTATTCAGAATCGGAGAGACTCGAGATAGTTCAAAACCAAGGAAGGCAGCATGAGAAGTGAAGTAAGAGAAATTTCCTGTGGCAGAAGTTAAACGTGAATTACATATCCTAGTTATGTGTGTGGTTATTAGTGTGAGTTTTATTGCTAGTGCTATTGATATTATTTTCTTGTCATCTCTTGGAACACTTTTAATCAAATATTCTTTTGTTTTTTTTTTTATCAACTGCACCTTTCTTCTTTTGAAGAAGGCATGGTTCTCTATCTTAAAAATCAAATGAAATGGAAATTTGATCGCCAGCTGTCTTGGATTTATTTTAAAGCAAAATTTCTTAAGTAATATGTAATTTATATATTGCTTATATTATTTCTTCGGCCATCTTAGTTTCCTAAGATTTGGTTCCTATTTCATAATTTTACTGAATCTACCTGCCTAAGAGCATACTTAAATTTTTCTTCTTGTTTTTCAAAATCAAAGGGATTTTTGTATTCATTTTTATGAACTATAATAGTCCAGACTGCTGACTACCCCATTTTTGGAGCTCTCTTTTCTCTTTCTTTTGTAACATTTCACTGTCTTTTTATAACATTTCTCTGTCTTCTTCTTCCTTCTTCCCCTTATCTTTTATTCCTGGAGGTGGGGATCTCTCAGTTTATGTTCACTTATTCTTTCTTTTTTATAAGGCTAGCCAGCCCCATTAATGACCAAAATATACTCAATTAGGTATCTTGTTAAAATGAGAGTCCTGTTTAATGTGTAGAATAAAATTATACCACCCTATTGAACTCATTTATATGTTTTGATTAGATAATCCTTTTGTCATAATATTCAGCAAACTTTCACCTATTTTGTAATATTTGGATATTTAAATATAATTGTTAGATCATATATCCTGATGTAATTCAGGTCCAGAAGTTTCAACAGAAATGAACTTAAAGCCCATTCATAATTAGAGCATTTATAAATATATTTGGAAATTGAGGTAGTCCCTGAATGAAGTGACTTGTAGGGAAGCATTCTGGAAGCTGATGGAAAAACCATATGTGAGAAATCTGGTAAAGTAGGTGATAGGGTTTAGATCTGTGTCTCCACCCAAATCTCAGGTTGAATTGTAATTCCCAACGCTGAAGGAGGCGCCTGGTGGGAGGTGATTGGATCATGGGGATGAATTTCCTCAATGTTGTTCTTGTGTTAGTGAGTTCTCATGAGATGCGCTTGTTTACAAGTGTGTGGCACTCGCTAGGCACAGTGGGTGGCTCATGCCTGTAATCAGCACTTTGGGAGGCTGAGACAGGCAGATCACTTGAACTCAGAAGTTCAAAACCAGCTTGGCCAATATGGTGAAACCCCATCTCTACTAAAAATACAAAAATTGGCCAGGCATGGTGGCACCCCCTGTAAGGAGGCTGAGGCAGGAGAATCACTTGAATCCAGGAGGCAGAGGTTGCAGTGAGCTGAGATCGTGCCACTGTGCTCAAGCCTGTGTTGCTATTCACTTGGGGCGGTTGGCAAAATATTACAGAAAATATTAAGGGAAAATTATAGATTGTAATCTCAAATCTTTTGGAAGGCCAGAAGGTTTTATTGAGGCAGGTTGAAGACAGCCACCTCATTAACATTAGCAAAGGAAAGAGATTGACCAAAGGCCTTACCCCACATCCCTTCCTTTCCACTCTTTACTCAGGTAAACTTTGTGCTGGATGGGATGGCTCTCTCCGTGGGAGGTCAAAGGGGAATTACCTGTTAATAGTGTTTACTCTGGGCCCAGAACCTAAAGTTTCTGTCATTCATATAACCACTCTTTTAGCCATGTTAATTATCCACAAGTGTGTTAACTTAGAACCTCCGTTGTAAAATCTTGAGAGAGTAAATGTGTGGATGGACAGAGGGTCTGGGTTGATTGGCTGCATATCACCCTCTGAAAGCAGCCAATGACCATCCCTAGCCCACTTAAAACACTGTAATGGTGTGAGAGTGCATTCATTCATCCGTCGTTGAGTCAGGGTCTGCAGGTCAGACTTCTGCAGGTAGTGACCGACATTTC